ACTTGTTGATTAGCTGCCAAGGTATACAACATAAAGCAATGAACTATTTAGACAAACTTCTGATTACCTGCACCAAAGCTCAGAAAAATATGCACAGAAAAAAAAGCAAAGCAAAAAAAAAGATTTTATCTATACACTGGACAACTCCATATATACTTGTATAAAGATTTTTAACAGGAAAGAGGTATTGTGTGCAGTTTATAAAAGTTGCAGTGGTTACTCACCCAACACAGTACTCAATGATCTTTCACTTTTTTATGTGTATGATAAAAAGGTCAACAGTATTACCAGAGCAAAATACTGTCCTCATCTAATCACTTTGCCACTGCAGACAAATGTGTTGGCCATGGTCTATCCAACAGCAAACCATTTCCCTTCTCTCCCTCCATTCCATTTTATTTATTTATTTTTAAACTCATATTGCCAGTGAAACTTACGGTCAGTTGCTAGCTTGCTTCCGCTGGCCTATCAAGTAAAAAAGCTGCTTTCTGATGTTTGGATGGCAGATATGGTCAACAAGTTCACTGAAAAAACTTCCCACAGAACACACTCACTAACAGTATTTTGGTGTCTTAAATAAATTTCATAACTATGAAATCAAAGAAAGCACTGCTTCTTTCATCTACAATGTATCACAGATACGGAATCACAGAGGTTGGAAAAGACCTCTGAGATCATCTAATCCAACCCTCACAACAGTTTTGCAAAGCAATGAATCAATTACATTTCAAATTATGCTAATTTAAGGAAAACTTATTAGCTTAGCCTTACATGACTGCCTCTTGTTCTACATTAACTTTAATATAAATCCATAAGGCATATGAAAGAAGCTGTTCAGCCTTCTGACCTACTTACTCATACTAGCAACAGTGCTAATACTTATGATGCTGTTCAGTTATCCAGATCAGAGAATGGGTTTTGTTGGTGGTTAATCTCATCACAAGAAATATGATTTCATTCATGATAGCTCCCTGACCTGACTCATCACACAGCAATATAAATAACACTGACACCCACAACACCCTGCAGAAAGCAGGACAGGGCTTAGTTGAGATTAAAGGAACTGCTAACTACAAATAAAGTACTTATGGCAAAGGAAAGAAAAAAGAAGGTGCAACTAAACTCCATTTTCTTCACTCCTTCCTCATCCCCCAGCCTCACTAAACAATCCAATCCTTGTGTGTTCACTTAAGGCGCATGCATATAGAGACATCTATGTCCATAGCCAGGTTCAGAAGTGCTGCGATTAAGGCTTGCTCTTCCACAGATACGCAAGAACAGCACCTACAAGAATGGTTACCCTTCAAAGCTATTTTAGTCACTTTTTAGTTAGTGATCAGACATCCAAACAGGATACAGGCTAACTGCACTGTACAGTCCTTATAAGCACTCTGGAAAGTAAATATTGTTGATCTTTCATTATTGGTGAGTAAAGAGTTCAGACAATTCACACAATCTATTAAAGACAAGTGAAGCTCACTCACTTAAGAGAATTTAGAACACGTGAAGTTTCTCAGCTCTCATCACCATCCGCTAATTTTACTGTCATCAACTTTGTGTTGTCACAAACCAATTAACTGAATTAAAAAAAGGCTTAGAAAACAACAATTTTTTTTCCACATAAGCGGTTGCTTCTATTTTAAATATAATTTTCTACGTAGCCAAGAATACAACTCCTAATATATATCATCATATATCATCAATAAAAACGTTGAATCTAGGGATGAGATTTCTGCCTCCACCTTTGTCCTTTACACCGTATACCAAATAAATAGAAGACAAGACAGGAGACACCTATAATAGGCTGGTGACTACAATCTGAGCACCTCGTGTTTAGGCATATCCAATAAGACACTGTTTCATTGCCCCTTGTTTGACCTTTGTTATGGAAACAGTTCTAGCTTTGTCAAAACAAAATAAACAAAACCTGTGATGAACTGAGGACAAAAACTTTAACATGTGCCACTGGTGAGGTATTTCCTAAGTCCCCAGGCCATACCCTCTGGTTAGCAGAGATTTAAAAGACTTGCTACAATCTGACAGCAATGATAAGACTAAAGAATATTAGAAAATATTTTAAAATATATTTTAAAAAGTAATAGTTCTTACTTTTTTTCTTCCTTCTATGAAGAAAATCCATCAGCACCTTGTCTCCTCAGTTTACAGTACAGCTCCACAAGGTTACTAGAAAGTCAATTACCTGCTGAAACTTCAGTGTAACATACACCGATTTGCAACTACAATTAAGCAGATCTACACCCTGGTGCTTTGACTACCTATAGATACAGCTGGAATTTCACATATCCCCGTTTATGGAGATGCACAATGCAATCAAGGAGATAAAACAGAGCAATGCTGTTCAAACCACTGAAAGTTTTCCCTCAGTAATACATCCATTTGCATTTCACTGCTTATCTCATACAAATGTTTACGTTCTGGTTATTCCTACTGTTACAAAGCCAATACATTTCAATTGAATTGTTTGACAGTTTATTACATCTTTAATAACTCTCACTCCTCTGAATTCTCTCCCATCAACCCTACCCCCTTCCTGATGTACAGCATTCAAAACTACAACAAAACTTTGGCTAAAGTATTAGAGGTACAAAGTAGAGTGGCAGAAGAATTACCACATGCCCTCCAGATGACACTCCTGGCTCATCAACCCAGTATAACTTTTGCAGCGCGATGGTGATTCACTCACATTCTGTTTGCAAAAGCCTTGACTTCTTAATGCAGGATTACGACCTAGCAAACTACCACGTCCCATCCTATACTACGCGTTTCTTCTTAATGTTATGCACATAACTCACTGCAATTAGTTTGAAATCTAATCACGTCCTCAAGTCATATTTGGATTGACAAACGTTTTGCAGACCTCTAACAAAAACAACATTTAAAACTCAGCATCAGGCACAAGTCCTGAAAGGGACCTGAAGGATCTCAGATAAATATTCTTCCAGTTAGGACAACTAATAACTCCTCACCTTCCTTTACAGCTTGAACAACTCTATACAAATTCCCTGAGATCATGTTTCTACAATTTCTTTATCAGAAAAAACATTGGAAAAAATAAAACCCACAAACATATGATAGCATGCCAAAGCCTTATAAAATCGATCTACAACACAGATAGCACTGTTACACCTTACATACACCTTACAAAAGCAAATCTGAGTGCCTGATGAAACAAAGTTTTCCTAAGCCTTGTCAGTATTTCATAATTTGTTGAGCTGGTTGCTTAATTGTAGGCTTTGAAAACAAACAAACAAAAAGTTCAAGAAGATACTTTTTTGTAGTTTGTTTTTTTGTTTTTGTTTTTGTTTTTTAAATACAGATCAGGAAGATAATGAAGACATCTTTCTGCTTTCCCTCCATCTAATCTGTTCTGTGTAATGCATCTGATAGCTCCAACACTAATTTGCGTGAATGATACCTAACTTGTCTGAAGTTATTCTCTGAATAACTTGTGTCCTTCATCTAGCTTTGCTTTTGCTATATGTCTGTGCATTGATTTAGCTTTCAGTGAATACTCAAAAACCAGCAGCAATACATACTTGGATCTTGGTGAATTCTGTTGTGTAACACACTAGGCCTTATTTCTCATACTAACTTACAGATTATTTCTTCAATACTTCTGCAAGATTACAGTTGCATCATTTGATGCCTTGATGTTTTCATTTTTGTTCCTACACGCTGACTCTTGGTAATTTCATTTGAATTGTGCTGTATGCTTGCTTGCTTCCTCTTTCAAATGCATTGATGAGTTTTCTTGGAAACTGACCTTTGCTTTTCCTCCTCATCTGACATACTGCCCTCCTTTTTTCAAATGCTCATACGTTTACATGCTACGTACACATTTACATTTTAACTTCTGGATGCTATGGGTGTTAACCTTCCATCCCAGATATCATACACACATAAAAAAAACATATTTGGACTCCTAAAAGAGTAAGAAAACATTATCTAGAATAATACATACACTTGCAGTCTGCTGAATGTGAACGAGCAGAACTATTTCAGAGTAAATTGAAGAACTGAAGGTATGTTCTTTTGAATGTGACACCAAACTAACAGAGAAGCTCAGCACGGCAGCCCTCACCTGGCTGAGAAGCCAAGAAGCTGCCTTTGAAATTAAGTACAGAATTTCAGTGCTACACCCTAAGTTCGACCCTTTAACTAACACAAAATGTTTGAACTTCTTTAGAGACCCAACTTCACACCTTAGGGAGCGGGAGAAATGAGCGTGTAAGAACAATAAGTAATAAAACTGAAGAGAAATAGTTCTAAGAAAGGACCCCGGCAGCCACGCAGACTAAAAGAATTAACATGCGACGAACAACCAGCTTTGGGCCAAACCTAGGAGCAAGGCCGCCAAAAAGCACTCGTGCTTCGGACCTCCGGAGCCCAAGGCAGCAGCGCCCAGCCGCGCAGGCCCACCTCCACGGCCTCCCGTTCAACGTGCGGAAGGACGGAACTGCTCCCTTCGTCCCGCATCACCTCCCCGGCCTCGCAGCCCCACACACCGGCCGGCAGCACCGGTCCGGTCCAACGAGGTAGCGCGGCTCCGGCCCACCGAGGCTCCCTGCTGCCCACGCAGCGGCAGGCCGGCCGCAGCCCAGCACTCACCCAGCAGCTCCTGGGTGCCGTGCAGGAGCCTCCAGCCTCCCCGGGCGGGCAGGGCCAGCCCAGCGCCCGGCACGGGCCGCCCGCCTCGCAGCAGCCTCAGCACCCCGGCGCCGCCGCTCCGCCACCAGGAGGCCGCCATCTTGCCTCGCCCTCGCCGCCGGCGCGGGGCTGCCCGTAGCGCTGCCTGACGGCGGGCGTCCGGGGTTACGGCCCGCTCTGCGCGGGGAGCGCCGGGCAGGCAGCGCCGCGGCACGCCTCCCGGCGGCAGGACCCAGCGCGCGACCGGCGCCATGGCTGCCGCGGGCGGTCACGGCCTCCAGCTCGCCGACGGCCGCGACGCGGCGCAGGTAACGAGGGGGCGGCCGTGCCACCGCGCGACGTACGGCTGTGAGGGCCGGCTGCGGTAGCGGCGCTTGGTCCAGACGAGCCAGGCTTCAGGCCTTGAAAGACGTGTCCTAAAAGAAAAGACAGTCCGCTTGTAATTGAAGTCATAAATAACACCGTCGTGCTGAAGTATGACTGTAACCCGTTCAAACCGAGTTTCGGAGTTTACATTCTTAGTTTTCTGATGGCTTTTAATGTATCGCTTTTTTTTATTTTTTTTTTTATTTTTAGGATAAGTTACATCCAAGAAATCTTATCCCAGAACTTTGTAGGCTGTTCTATGGTTTAGGCTGGGTAACGGGAACTGGTGGAGGAATCAGCCTGAAACATGGGTAAGTAAAGCAAAGTAACTAAGAGCAACAAACTGTATGGCCTTTAAAGGTCCTTTCCGACTCAGATCATTCCGTGAGGTTTGCAGAGAAAGGCTGGCTGCAATTGGTGAGGGCAGTTCTGTTCTGTGGCAGATGTTTGAAAGTCAAAAACGACTGAAGAAGATAGAAGGGGAAATGAACGCTACTGCAGATTTAAAGCAAAGAAGGGAAGATGTCTGGCTTGAATTAATCATTAAGGTTCTTTCAACGGAGAAAGAGAGACAAGTTAAGAGAGTATCTTATTTTTATCCTTCTTCTGTCTTTAAGGTAAACTACTTGCTTTTAAGGAACGATTCATTTTCCCCTTTTCATTCCTTTGTGAATCTAGATTAGATTACACACAGCTTTCAATGATAAAATGAGATTAATCCCACCCTGGATGTGTCGCAGACAAGCATTTCCTTCAATAAAGAAAGTACTGTTCCACTGAGATTTCTAAGAAGTTGTTATTGACATAATTAAAGCGGCACATGCAACAGCAAAACAATTTTTGGTGTATATCTGAGAAGCATCACTTTGCTTTTTTACTGTTTATTACTCCTATTTATACTTTCAAAGCTTCTAATGGAAACAGAACCCCTGCTAGTGGCTGCTGAAGAAAAAAGAGAAACCTTCACTCTGCAAAATACCTTTCAGTGTCTGCCGCTGCACCATCAACTTAAAAGTTACTGATCTCTCATTTTTCTGACATACAATTATATGCAGTGTATGTCAGAAAAAGAAACAACACAGCTATTACTTTTCACATATATAATATTTATCTGAAATAAAAGCTCCAAACACCAATATTTGTGATTTTCTAATTGCTTTGTGCAAGTCACTTCACTTCCCTGCATAGTTTTGCAAACAAAGCAGCAATAAATAATCAAAGGAGTGACAATAGGATTGATTCTTGGTTTTAAAGTTCTTCATTTGTAGAAGATCTTTATAACACTAATTTCTTACCAGCAGCTGAATATAGGCTGTTTTCTCTGTTGTTTCTATGTAATTCTTGTTCATTTTGACAAGACACATGGCTTCAACAGAGAATACACTGATGTAGTAGTACAGTTTTCTTCAACAGTTCTATCACTTTGTAGCTCAGACTACATTTGTAGTACAAATGTACATAGGTACATTTGAGTAGCTTCCAATACATCTTACATGGTAGGAATAGTAATCCGATTGATTGTACTCATTTTTATACCTGCATTAGTGTTAGGTATGTTTCAGAATGAACAGCCATGAGGCAAAGAGCGAGTAGACTAGCCTAGAATCATTCCATAGGAACAACTGAAGTTCTAGCAGCTAGTTTTATCTTACGTCCTGATCAACATTACTGACTGCACTGTTCATTGGAACTACTTAGGGTGAAGATGCCAAGATATGGGATAGCATTATTAAAATTGGTTCTAGAATTCTTTGTCAGGTGTCCTATGTTTCACTTCTTCTGAAAGATAAATTTCTAGACCAGAGAAAAATATTTAAACATCTCAAGCGTCTCAAGAGATACACCTGTAACTTGACTAATTACTCACTAGATGTCTCTGTGCTCCTGAATTTAAAGCATTGCTCCTTAAACCAAAGAGTGATTAAGTACAAGATAGCAATCTGATTTTCTTTGTTGTTACTGAGAATGTTTTAGTTGCCACCTAAGATTATTTAAATTTAAATCAATATTTTTATGGATTTTGATCATGTAAACATTCGAAGAAAAGATACACTTCTATTTGAATTTGTCACTTAATTGCACTGACTGATATTTTTTAATCAATGCAAATGAACACACAAATGCATTTTGTAGCTATATGTAGATTAGGCAGTTAGAACAAAAATGAAAGTATTTACATTGTATAATACAAGAGACAGTTGATACTGTTTATAGGTAGTCTGTGGATTTTTAAGTAGCAGTTTTGCCACAGGACAGTATCTGCTTGCAATTTGTTTTGTTCTCCTTGTTTTTTTTTCTTCAGACTTCCTGGGGCTGAGTTTGAGATTATTACAGGGGAAGGTTTTGTGTTTCCCTTTACAGAGAAATCAAGGTTGCATTTTCTGCATCTATTTTGAATCTCTTGTCAAGTTGAAAGCACTGTTTGAGATCCCTTTAAGCTAGAGATTTGATATGCTCTTATACATTAAATGCATCTGCATTTAAAAAAACAAAACAAAACAAAAGCAAAAGACCACCCCGTCGACCTGTGACTACATATATGGAAGAGTGATAAATTTATTATCACAGTTTAGATTTGCTATTTCTTTTCCAGTGAATCTAGAGCTCTAATGCTCATGCTGTTAGAAAGACATGTTTTTTAATAGTTTTACCTATCTTCAAATTTTCTTAGGAATGAAATCTATATTGCTCCTTCAGGAGTCCAGAAGGAAAGAATACAGGTATGTTTAACTTTATTTCTACCTTAGAGCTTATCTTCAGATGGGTAAAACTACCTATGCTTAGTGTTTTATTTTTCCTTATATAAAGTTAGGCTTACAAATCTGTGGTCCGCATTCCTGAAATAACTGAATTTCTCCTCTTAAGTACTCAGCTACCAAAGCAAGCCTGTGGCCAGCATGGCTTAAAGCAAGGATGATTGAAAGTTACCCTAGATCAGCTTTTTTCTTTTTCAAGATTAAATGGCTTTTTATCTATCTGAGTACAGTTTCAAGTTACTGTAGTACACACATATTACGCTTTAACACCTCTTTTCTGTTTATTATCGTTTTAATGATTGGAAATCTTTCTCTTGGTCTTCTCAGTAAATAGATGGGCTTTCTCCAAGAAAAGGTGATGTTGCTATTTTATGCCTTTCCTTTCCTGGAACAGCAAAAACCCTAAAATATAAGTGGAGGGGAAAGTGGTAAATGATAACTATTTTATGACAATAGGAAAAATTGTTTTACAGCTTTGAGGGGAAATACAAGGAGACGTGAAAGGAATCTTTTTGCTGATAGAAACTTGAAGTTTTGCACAGTGCTTGCTAGCAACATTAGCAAATAAGACAGGAAAAGGCATAATATGGCAAGGCTGTGATGTTTTGCTCTTTTCTGACAACAGAAGTGGATTGAGCATAATGGGTAAACTCTCTTGCAACTGTATTTTCTGTTAATTTTTTTAATGAGACAGTTTTATTTCTACCATGGACAGGAAAGTAACATTTCTGGAAAGCTACTTTTTTTTTTTTTTTTTTTTAGTAAGTTACTACTTTTTCTCTTGAGCTTTTGATGGTCTGTATTTAGATATAGGTCATCTCCTTTCTTAGAAAATTTTAGTTTTAGTACTCCTTGGCAGCAGTACTGAAAGGCAGTACCAAATGTTCATCTACCATACACAGTAATGATAATCAGTGTTAGTGGATAGAATAAACATAGCGTCTTACAGCATTTTTACGAAGCTGAAATTGCATTCTATATTAAATATATTGTGTTTCTGTATGTATCTCCTTAGAAGGAAAATAAAGCTGTTCAGGTCATCACAGGTAAAAATAATTTCTCTGATACAGCCAGAAGATATGTTTGTTTGTGACATGAATGAGCAGGACATCAGTGGTCCTCCAGCACACAAGAAACTAAAGAAAAGCCAGTGCACACCTCTTTTTATGAATGCCTACACTATGAGAGGTACGTAGCAAATCTTTTTGCTTTACTATTGACTGAAACGCTGTATATACATTGTCAATAAAATTAAAATTCAGTACTTGATTCTTTAAACATAAAAGTCACAGTGAAAAAGATATGAGCCTGTGAAATAAATAAATTTGTGCAGGCACACATGCAATGGAATGTAATCCATAGTAACACCTGTAAGCCTCTTCTACAGCTTCTTACGTAGCTACACCTGAGATCATCTTTTCGGCACTGATTTCTAGCCCAGTCTATTAATAGTTTGTTGGAGGGAAAGGGAAGTCTTTGACATGGCTATTGTCAAAGGTTCTAAATTATTAAGTGAAAGAAATATGAAGCTTTTCTTTAGCTTGTAATCACAGTGCAGTTTCCAGTTGAGCATCCGTTTCCTTTTCTGGTGTCAGAGATGTTAAAGAAGGCTCATTTCTTTCAATTCCTTAATATGTTTAGGTAGCAACACGGCTTGCAGTCCCACTTGGGAAAAGCTTTTGGAGGTACTTGAGCTGTAAATGATCTGTACGCCTGGACTGAGTGGAATGTCTGTAGATGGACAGTAATAGAGATCTTTTTCTATTGTGGAAGATTTACAAGTGTTACTTTAAAAAGGATTTAAGGAAACTCATCTAGTCTTCCTGCCTATGTAAACTTGCCTATGTACCTGAGGAAAATTCATATTTTTGGCAACACTGCAGCCACGTTAGTAAAATTAATTACAATTATTTAATATCTTTCCATCATGGTACAAGAAGATAACTCTGTTTTTTCAGAGAATCAATGGATAATTGAGAAATACTGCTTGCATAAAGTAGAAGTATTTAACTTCTATGAATAAGTTTGGGAAGTCTTCAGAATCATGGATTTCTGATAAAATTATTAGAGTGTTTTTGTTTTTATAACACACAAAAAAAAACCTATACAAGGAGTGCTTCTCCTTGCTTTTGTGCAAATGGTTTTTCTCCTGGAATTTGTCACTAAGTAGAAGTTGACACTGCTGTCCTAAAACAATCCATAATTATCCTTTATAGATGAGCAATTATTTCTTACCTTTATTTAGGCTGCTGTGCATTTTTTCTTCTGATACAGTAGATCACCATTTGCTAAGATGCCTAGCCAAAGAAAATGAATCAAATACAGTAATGTTTTTTTCTTAATAAATGCCTTTCAAAAATTATAAAAACATATATATATATATATATATATATATATATTCTTTTTCTCTTCTTAGGAGCAGGTGCAGTGATACATACTCATTCCAAGGCTGCTGTTATGGCTACCCTTCTTTACCCAGGGAGTGAGTTCACTATTACCCATCAGGAGATGATAAAAGGAATCCAGAAGTGTTCTTCAGGAGGCTATTACCGGTACATTTTTAAGAGCAGAGATGTACTATTTGATTGCTTGTTTGCAGCAAAATAGATGATAAGTAATTTGAGTTATGTATGTTCAAGTATATAATATAAAGTATTATGAGTAGTAACAAGGCCTCTGGAATAAATCAATCATTGGCTTCCCCTACGAAGGTCTCAAGCCTATAGAAGAGATCTGAGATAAAATCTTGCCAAGTCAAACTTACTGTGGTCCACTGAACTGTAGAAACAAACTAAATAAAGAGCCAGGTCTTGACAGATATCTCAAGAACAGAGTTGTTAACACATCTATACAGTGTTAAACTGAAACTGTAGCCAGCCAACATTAGGCTGAATTGATAAAGCGCAACTGTGTTTGGGTGGACTTCACAAATCATTGCCTGTTCTAGTTTAGGGCAAGTTAAGAGACTTGAGGATTTCAGATTTTACTTGACAGACTTTGAAAGAAAAATCAGAATAAAGAGCTCATTAAAGATAATGTTATTACTTTCCAAGGATGAGCTCTGAGGTAAGTGCTGAGTTATTCCAAATTATGTGTGATGGCTTGTTTTGAGGACTCCACCCACAGTGCTGAATTGAGACCAGCGAACAACTTTTATATAATATGTGACAATTAGATGAAAAATTGAAATGCTAAATTCTTTCCACTTTTTGATGTAAATTTTTGTAAATAACAATTGCCCTTTGGCAAGGGAGCAAACAATGTGTTTGGCATGTGATTTTGTACCTGGACATATTTTATTAGGAGTTTTGGTTGACTTGCCAGCTTTACCTTCTTGTTAGCATTAGCATTTGCATTTTTCATGTGGCAGAACTTCCTAGTAAAAACATCCCTTATACTGGAACTGTCTAACACTGGTTTGGAAAAAAGCAACAACAACTTCCTTTTTTTTGGATTTGCATCGTGAATTTCCAAAATTCCTGTATGTTAGTCAGGAAACACTGTATTTATTGCATTCTGTATCTACAAATTGTCCTATGTCATCCTGCCTGTCAGAAAAAATAAAAAAATCAAAGCTCCAGATTACATGTTTGCTAAGTACATATTCATCCATCCAAGATCCAAGATTCCACTGCCTTGTCTCACACCAGACTGCACACTGAATTCAGAAGAAATTCTGGAAGCTATCTGTTACAGGTAGGATAATCAGAAGTATTTCCTGGCCTAAATACGATCCCTGAATGCTAGAACAATTTTACTTTTGGCTTCTGTAGAATTAAATCTGTAGTAAACAGCTTTCAAAATCTCAGACTGTCTCGAAGTATTTTATATGAACTTTTGCCTCAATGAAGGCTCCTTATGTTTCAGTAAAATATTTTTTTTATCTCTATAGTTTAACTGTCAGAATCTTCTGTGGGTTTTATAGCTAATAATTCTTACAAAAAAAAAAAGGTTATAATTAGAAATCAATTTGTGATGTTTATACTTGCTTCCAAACTACTGTCTGAGTACAAAGTAGAAACTAGGAAAACAATCCCTTAGTTGAAATGTCCTAACTGGTAGCATGCACTCCAAATCTAAATTTAATGACTAGAATATATGAGAGATAAAGTAAACCTACAAACACTTAATTTGCTTTCCTCACTAAATTTATACACTTCTTTGGGAAAAGCATCAGCATTGAAAACTGTGAGACATGAGACCTCTACATTTTGTAAATATTTAATATGAGGTACAGGCTATAGTAATTCTACCATTGCTTCCCCTCTGTGTTTTTTATAAGTTCTGCTAGCATCCACTCTTGAAATATCAACGAGATCTCAATGATAAATCCGAATGTGAACTGGGGACTTATTAAAAACTATTTAAACAAGTTTCTGCCAGTGTTAATTAAGGTTCAAACAATGCCAAATATCCCAATCTCCTTCACAAGAAACTCTTAGGCAAGTTCCACTGAGTAACATGCATCATCTTGTCTTTGGAACAGGGGTTCTCAGGCTCTCTTAAGATCACATGTAGCCCACCAACCACTCTATCAGAGAAGAATTTATTTTTCATGTGTTGACACTTACTTTCTATTTATATGCCTTAGAAGGACAATCTTTTTTCCAGAGGCTTTTTGGACTACCTAAATTCAATTTTTTTCTGCTCTCTCCAGCAAACAGTTTTGTTTCCTTCTTTTGATTCTTTTGAATAATTTAATCTGAGATCAAGCTGGTAGGCGATGCCAATACAGGATGAAGAAAGTCTGAAAAAGTTGCAAAGGGACCTAACTACAAAGTGATGATACGTGAACAAACAACTATATCTAATACATTAAAGTCTTATTTTCTTTTTGTGCCTCAAGTGTGGTTCAGATACTGCCAGCAGGTCATGAAAGTGGGATACATTCCTGAATTCTTTTACTGCAGTGTGACTCACAAGAGAAGAGCTTAAAAATCTCTAGTGCTGAGAATCTAATACCTTTATGCAAACAAGAAGCTCTTTCTAATGGAAGAGTTGAGGTATAAGATAGATCACTCTTCCAAACATTTCATTTCGTGTTTAAGATATATTTAAATCTATTTTTCTCTTAGATATGATGATACACTGGTGGTTCCCATTATTGAGAATACACCAGAAGAGAAGGATCTCAAGGAAAGAATGGCAAAAGCAATGGAAGAATACCCAGATTCCTGTGCTGTTTTGGTCAGACGTCATGGAGTTTATGTATGGGGAGAAACATGGGAAAAAGCCAAAACAATGTGAGTACAATTAAGGAATATGGTATATTTTGCCATTATACCTCAAAATTTGATTGGCTCTGCTGTTCTGTTTATCTCTGACCATTGTCAGTGATTCAGAATATTCATAAACTTCTGGCCTCATTGAATTTATGGTTTCACTAGGTTCATCCATGATTTTACTGTTTGATTTTTCTTTCCAATCTATTCTGAATGATAGAATTCACAATATTTTCCTTTTACATGGACAAGTAGGAAACCTTAAGACATTCTCTGGTTGTATGACACCTGCCAATACTGTTCATACAGTCTTCTCTAGTCTTTTTTTTTTGGCTGGGGAGGAGGTATGGGGGCACTAGAAATTACATTCTTCATTTGCTGCTGAAAGTGCAACACATCAGGATCGTGTAGCTGAAATGCTGGGCACTGGGGTGTCCTTGCTGACATTTCATACAGCTGCGATGGAAATAAATGATAACAGCTATCCAGTCAGACTGACACATTGATGATGTACAGCTCAAGGAAGATAACTATTATCATAAAAAGCAGTAAGACTTGAATGTATTGAACCTAACTTTACTGTTCACCTATTTTTCCTTTTAATTCTAGGTGTGAATGTTACGACTACCTATTTGATATTGCAGTGCAGATGAAGCAGCATGGGCTAGATCCTTCAAAACATCCAGCGGGAGAAAATGGGATCTTGTGAATGACAGCAATATTCAGGTGTGAGTTTATCTGTAGAAATTATCTGTTTGCAGGGAAAGGCTATAGATAACACCATCTGTTCAGTCTGCTTTCCCACTCAATTACCAGAACAGAAAACTTCAGTATTCTTCCTGCTCTGTTACCAATGTAGTTGTGTCTACACCCAAAATCATGCTTTCTTACCCTCCAGTGCACTGAAAGGATATATATTAAGTATGTCCTGTGCCTATTTTAACACTTAGGTACAGCTCAGAATGCAATTGCCTTTTAAAACCAAGGTAGATCAAGCATTATCAGAACGAAAACAGTGAAAGAAACGGACCTCATCCTAATATGCTAATATGCTAATTTTTACAGAGATGTCTGAACACATGCTTCTGTTCCTCAGCTTGCAGTATGCAGTATTCTTATTTCACTCTTTTCGTAGTGGTGCTACTTATTTGGTGTAGTTTTCTGCTCTTGAGCAGAAATTACTTGTTGCAATTTGAATAAGCTGAATTAATTAATATTACATTTACACCAAGTGATGCTAACTGTGAATTTCTTTTTTCTAATGCAGCAATGATCAATGTTTTCAAGGTTTTCATAACTAGTATTTTTAAGTAAAAGAATGTATGTAATATGATCAGGCAGTATTTTATGTTGAAGGAGAAGGCACTCTGAAACAATTGACACACAAGCTTTTCAAAGTAAAGTAGGGCAAAACACAGTGGTATCACAATATTTCAGAGTTTGGCATCCCTCTTCTTGTAAATCTAAGCAAGTTTAAAGATACTGCTACTGAGATTATACAGGAGTCCCTGGACCAAAGTAGTGGTCTGAACAGAAAGGGCTAACCTGTTACACAGAGTTGGCCCATCAGATAATTCTCTCCACCCACTGTGTTTGCATCAGAAGAGATGAAAAATGAGTGCTTAGGCAGTGTGAGCATAAAACAGCCACGTACTCAGAGCACTAGCTGTTATGCCCACGCCAGAGGAGGAAGCAGTGGGACAGAACGCTTACTGTCAAATGAGTCCTTGTGCGAACAGATATTTGGAGCGCTGCCACTGCATGCAGGGACATCTGCCTACCACACCTGCACAGAGCTACCCCATGGCCTCTGAGAAAAGTTCTAAAATTGCTCTTCAGCAGAATTAATCTTCCTTTGCCCATTTCTTATGACTAAATACCTAATTTAAGAGTATACAATCATTAATGTTGGAAAAGAGTGCTAAGATCGCCTAGTCCAATCTTTGGCCTATCACCACCATGATCATTAAACCACGTAAATCTTTGTTTATGTCTTGTTTTCCCTACACAGGTTTCTTCTTATGTGATCATGGGAGTTCCAGTTTCCACCTCGCACTGTTGAAGCCAGAAGGGGGTGCTCTTGTATTCAGCTGAATTAACAGATGTTGGCAGCCAATTTTGACCAGACGTATCAAAGAAGAAAAAGAGTTAAAACAAAGAGATCCTGCACAATCATTGCTGTTTATGAGTACTGGCAAAAGCTACTTTAGGAGGAATGAAAATTCACATTCAAAGAGCTACAGAGAACTAATGTGACACATTGTTTGCGTGATTTAAAAATTAGTGTTTTAACAAATTTGCATTTGCTGATCCTGCTCTACTGCTGCATCGTTTGACTTGTTCTAGATCTCAATTTCTGAAAGATAAAGCAGTCCTTATTGGTTGGAAAGATATGAGGACCTCCCCTTAATTAAAAGTTATGTTTAAAATGATTGCTTAAACTACTGATTAATTTATGCTACATTAATTTCTGTGAAATTAAGCTTGTAGCATATGCATTTTTAAGTCATATGTTAATTGTTATTCTGCGTAGGAAAATCACATAATTTTGTAGCATGCATTTGGAAGTTGTTACCGAGACATTCCTCCAGGTCTTACCTATTTTTTACCTCTTAAAATTCAGTCACTTTCAATGCAATTGTTTAAAACAGTTTTTTTAATGAACTGCTATAAGCCAGACTCATGTCAGTTTACTCAAACAGCTCATTAAAATTTAGTTTTATATGTTTATATGTCTTAGTGTCTTTATTTCAAAACCTCCTGGAATAGCCCCACTAGCATCAAAGCCACAACTGACCAACTTTCTGAGTACTGAGATTCTCATCCCAAGGAAGAACACCAATTGACAACTTACATTGCCAGAAAGGAGAGGTCTTGTTTTCCCTTCTGTTTTCTGCTAGGGGCCATACATTCCCACCATTTTCCTTGCATCATCTTTGGCACTTGTTTGAGCTTCTGTGAGGTGAATTAACTCATTAACCTAAGAGAAACTACTGCAGGGGGTAAAAAGAAAATAATTATATTGTTTCCTAATCAGCCACTGTTAAAAAGTTAACTCAGAGGTGGGTTCAGGGTGCCAGAGCTGGGGCAAAAGAGGACATAACTAAAATCAGAGATGGAGAAGACTCTATTTGATGAGCATAACTATGCAGACTTACTATTCGTGGAAAGTTATTTGGCTAAACCAAGAAGTCAGGAAGAAACTTGGATTTTTTACCCTATTCAGAGCATTGGCTTTCTTTAGTTGTGTACATGAACCACTGATCTTAAGGCAACATACACTGATGGTTCTATTTACTGGTAATAGCGTTATGCTAAATTCACGCAAAAAATATCCTGTTTTGTCTTGGTGGATATTTATGTGCCCATCTAACAGTCTAATGCTGGGCTCCAGCAAAACTCATTTTCAGTAAGGCATCATGTTATAAGACAAGTGCCTGCTGATGAGAGTCGACCCATGTTGGGCAACAGCTGATTCTAGACAGTAAAATGTGTTTACTTGTGCACTGGTGTAGTCAACAGAGCTGTTGCTACTATGCTGCCAGTTTGTCATCAACAACTTGTCTCGTGTTTCCATGTCTTTGTGGCAACTGCAGCCTATCCTTCTGTGCAGGGCACAAGAGAGCACATTCAGCATCTGCTGCTAACAGACAAAGAGCAACTATCTTTGAAAAGGGATCAAGACCTCAAGTGATGAAGACTTCCCCTTGACTGGAATGAGATATTGTAGGGAACAATTTGCCACAGGAAGCTTGGCAACTACTTATCTACCAGCAAAATTTATCCTCACCTTGCTGGGAGGCTTCAGGTTTTCTCGACAGGAAATCACAAATCTTTGCGCTCAAATTTGGTAACTCAGTTACTGACTTAAGAACTTTTAATAGGAATTTTCATATAGCTTAGATAGCCTCCCCTCTACTCCCTGCCTGATGATTGGGCTGTGAGACTAATCTTTGCCACTATATTCTTACATCAAAGAATTAACCAGGTTTCATTTTTTTTTTGGGTGTCCTCACATGTTAGGAACCAGAATAGCACTGCCTGTTTTGTATTTCATGCTATTTAGTTTATCTTCTGAACTCACCTTCTAAATGCTTGTTCTCCCCAACTCTTAAAATTTACAACAAGCAGTGGAGTTATGCTGACAGATCAGCAGATTTTGTTATGAAAAGTTTATTTTTCAGAAGTTACATACGTTTGCACTTCCCTAGTGGAACTGGAGGTGTACCTGCAGTGAGTGACCTTGAAATCCCTGGGGGAGGATGACTAATTCTGAAATGCTGGTTAGCACTGAGTAACTGAAGGTTGTTGATTAGTTTTATTGATACATTTTTGTCAGTTAACAATTTTTATTACTAGATACATTTGTCAGTGGTAAATACTTTGCTTTGCAGTGACCAATTACACATTCTATGATTGTATGTAGATTGCAGCAAGAAACTGGGTGGAAAACCTGGGTGATTTTTATTGAGACCTATTGATGTGACAAACCACCTGGTGAAGCCTGGTTGCTGTCTATTGATTGTGACCTCTGATTCCTTCTTTAAACCGAGGTTTCTGCAAAAAGTGAATTCCTGCAGTATTCTTGAAGTTTTCATAATACAGCATAACAATATCATTCCATAATACTGATGTTCTGTAAGGATAAAGATTGTTTAAGTTCTGGTCTGCATGTTTAATAATGACAAACTACAATGGAACATTCAAGGAGAGCTTTTTTTTTTTTCTTGCCAAATATGTTCCTCTGGGGTCACATGTTAATTACAAATATTCACTTGCTCATCCGAATACAATTTGTAATACTACAGCGTTTGTGAAATTTGTGAAATTGTTTGTACACATTTTCTGTAAGTGATGCTCTTTTATAGATGATTTTGAGATATTCAAAATCCCATTCATTCAGTGATAAAGAAATGAGCTACATACACTCTTCCCATGCCTGTGTGTGAATCCTTTAACAAAGAAAATGATAATTTGACAATGTTGGTGGCTTCATAAGCCTGTGAAACGATTACTCTTCCCCAAAGTGTTCAGAAAGCTCTTACTGTCCACTTCTATTATGCAAAAGAAAAATATTAACATTTCCTAAGTCATTTATAGCTTCCAATTCACATCATTTTCTGATGTGAACTGTAGATAAATAGCCAGTTAGATGTGTATATGTTCACAACAAATTGTTGATCACCATCAAAGCTGATTATCTGGCTTCAATATCACCAGAGAAGATTATGTAAAATTCCATAAATCCCACTTCAAGAGGATCATCAGAAACAGTAATCAAGTTCCAGTATTTCCCAATAAAATAATTTCCTATGTAACATCTTACTTGCTTTCCAAGAAGGAAATGAAGTTGTGGAATGCAGCACCTAGTAATATCAAGTGATAAAGCTATAACTTATATTGACAAAACTGCAAGTCCTCTACAGTGCCATAATGCCTCGACAACACCATCCTATTTCCTGTAACTCTGAAATCATCATTTAAATATTAACAACTGGAAATCCTACTGATTAGTAGAACAATACAACTAGATTGATATCCTTCCTCTAAATTCCTTGCTGCTATTTGGCAAATACATATATAATAATTTTTTGCAATCCAACCATCCACCTACCACCAATGAAGACGACAAGAAAGTGGCAAATAAACCTGGAGCAGTTTATCTATTTTTCCGTTCTTTGATATAGAAACAATCAATATATAGTTTGATATCAACACCTGCTAGTTTCAAAATTCTAAAAAAAAAATAGGAAAAAAAAAGAAAAAAAAACCAAAACCCTGTGAGCTGTTGTAAGTTACAGAATCAGTACTGAAGGGAATTATTGCTCATATACTTTACACATTCACATGTGAGCTAAAGAAATTAGGAGAAAGCTTCCTTTTTGAAGCTGATTTGGAACTCCCTTTTCTTACAAGAGGAGGTGATTTTATTTTCTTTTTCTAAACATAAGGTGAAATAAAACTGTGACCTACAGACCCACGCAGTTCACAAGTACTGGCTCATGCTACGCTTTTATAACAGGGGTGCCTATGGCTGAGCTTTCATAGAAATTAATCAAAGCTTTCATAAAAGTCAGAATGTTTCCCTGCTTGCTTTTGTTTCACATCAGCATTATGCCTTGGTGATTGGTGATTCCTTAAGCCTAATGTTGCACCAGAAGTGTGCTATCTGATGTGTTTTTTAAAAGAGAAAGCTTGAGTCCTTGTGTCCTAAAAAAAAAATAATAAAAAAAAATTAAAAAATAAAAAAAAAAAACAAGGAAGAAAAAGACTTTCTGATACTTATGCTGTCAGCACACAAGAGTTTACATTAGATGGTAAATAAAATTGTACTGTTTTTCAGCTGATATCATTAGCACAGGGACCTGTTTCTGCTAAATTTGAATGGTAGTGGCTCAGCACACTGGCTGCATCACTGAAAAATTATTCTGGAGGTGAAACTCCCAGTGAAACCATGACAGCTGGCTGTTTCTTAGGATTTTATTCTACTAATATTTTGAACTGAGTTTGTTCTTAAATTCTTGAACTTTTCTATGTTCACTTCAGACTTTCTCATGTCTGTTGGGTTTTACTAGAGCTCAGTCAGAAAAAAAGTAGTGACGCGCTAGTCTGCATTACTAAGAATGGACTGAACATGTTTGACTAGATGATATTTAATGGAAAATCACAGAAATTATATTGCCTGAACAGCATTTGCAAACACCCACTCACTCTACACTTACGTATGTGTGTTGTTTTGTTTTGTTTTACTCTAAGATACTGTGCTACTGTACTAGCAAGTTTCTCCCATCTTGACAGATAAAATTACAGAGTTTAATCTCCAGAAACTAGCTCAACAAGAATTTATTTAAATAGCTGGGCATAAATTCTCGCTCCTAAATAAGCCTCAGATTAGCTCCAATTTCTCTAATGGTAATTTCTGATAATTACAAACAGAATACACTGGATATAGAAGAAAGAAGAGGTCTTAAATTTAAAGCAAAGAGCTGGAAGTCTAGATTCTGTGGCTGATTCAAGTGTTACCTTAAGGTCATGCCTTGAACAGTTCACTTTGATGGGAGTTTCAAAAGAGCGTGAATGAATCAGATACTACCCTAAATCCCACTGCAGAACTAGGTGCGAAATTTCATCATGCTCCCCTGGAACTCCCAGGACTTCACTGTTTTTGCTTCTGATCAGGGGATAAAACTTGAATGTTCTGCATGGACAGCAGATGCCTAATGAGTATTTCTTCCATAAAAAGGAAGAATCTCTATTATTGGAAGCATTTTAAGAGAAAGCTTGCCTGAAATAACAACCTCATGTAGATTTACAAAAACAAGAAGGACAGAACTGATCTTTGCTGCTTACTCAGATATATTTTAACTAATTCCTCCCCTCCTGAAGGATACCAGCCATTTGCTTTTCCAGATCTCATTCCCATCCCTTAATCTTTATTCTCCAGAGAAAGCAGATTATCCTCATGCTCCCCATTTTTTATGCTTTGTCACATGTGCATGCCTTCAGTTTTAATCCTGCTTTTCTAACAGATTTTTCTCCCTCACTTCTCTTTCCGTGCCCTCTTTGAAACGGAATGTAAGCTTAATACTATTTGCATTCTGGTTGAACTTTCAAACCCAGGAATATTTCAGTGCCAGGCAGAGAACAGCTCAGCTTTGCCCTGGTTCATCTGCCACATCTCTGCCACAGAATAGCTTAGGTTGGAGGGACCTTAAAAATTGTATGGTTCCAA